CCAAGACATGGTTTGCGATACATGTGGCAAGACAGTGAGGTGTTGTGGCAACACCACTAACCTCGTCAAAAACCTCAGAGTAAGTCATATCACAGAATATGACGAGCGTATGTTGAGGCGAACTGAAGAGGAGGAGAGGGACAGGTGCTGCTAGGGGGAGAGAGACGTCTCTTGCAGAGTCCTTCAGTGCGGTAGGCAACATGCTTCAACTTCAGGAGTTTTTATTCTATATGATTATTCTGCATTATTAAGCAATAAGAACAAGTCGTCTGATGTCCTGTAATCATTATGAAGCTATAGTATTATATTATTATGACAATTACATAATACAATTATATATTGTATTATTTTGGTATCGATCTGATACCAAGTAAATACAGGAACAGTAATGACAATGCCAATACTTTTATGTAATAAATTTATGTAGGGAAGAGCCGTGTATCATGACTCATGAGATTAATTATTAATTTACAAATTTCTAACACAATAACTAAATCACTGTTAATTAAACAAAACACACCTTTCAGCTTTTCGCGTAATTTGAAACTGGCTTTTTTGAAGACCTGGAAAGTAAATGTGTCTGTCTCTGAAGCTCTTTTGGTCAGCTCCTGTTCTTTTAATATGTTATACGCTATAAATAACATTGATGTGACAGTCAACACAAAAAGCTGACAAAAAGATTTTTCATTGTGCATGTTTGAGGTTCAAAAAAGTGATTCAACACAATTCAATATTGAACGTAGAAGAGAGAAACAAAGTATCAACCCTATTGTGCTAGTATAATGTCGATATCATTGATATTTGGATCGATTTGCTCAGCTTAAGCCAGGGCTCAAAGTCCAGTAAAGTGTCGGAATTGTAGATCAGAATTAATAATCACAAAATATATTAATAAATAAATGCAAAATACTAAAACACACTAGAAGTGACAACATGTTACAAGCATACATAAAATAATATTTACAATAACTATAATTGTTGGTCCATAAAACCTCATATGCACAGAAGACTAAAGTAAAAGTATGAAAGCAACAATTCATGAGTGTGTTGGTGGATTTGTTTTAGCAAATGCGGAGCACCCGCTCACTTTATCACATCATGACATATATGTTTCATGTTGTGGCAATACAAGACATCAGCTGTGTTGCAGGGATCACAAAGTAACATCCACAACACACCAGATTGGTAGACTTAGTTTCCAAGTGTAAGAAAGTATTCCGACTACACAGAACATTAGATGATCTGATAAGTTTTATGATCATTTTGTGAAATTAACTTATGTTGGCTTATTATGGTTGTTTGTCATTTAAGTGTCAGCTTGCACAGTACATCAAGGATATTAAACCAGACAATCTGATCAAAGACCATTTGAAAGAGGTGTCATTAATACCATTGTTTTACTGCTATAAACGCACATCTCACTCTGAGAAGCCTGTCGACTAGGAAAATAAACTTCTCACTCACTCCTCGTCTAAACAAGGAAATTGACGGCTGTAATTTTAGTGTGGGGAGCATACCAAGTGTTTGAGTGTTGTATCTTGTACCTGTTGTACGACAAAAGGCCTCTGGAAATTTCATCCTGAACTATTATTCTACTATTCATCTTTCCAGTTCACTTGATGAACTTTAAAGCTCTCCCTGTTTGTTATTGTGTACTGTTTGTATTGTGCTTTGAAACACTATAACTAAATTTAGAGCTGGTCCAAGACATTGTGTGTGCAGGGGAACCTTTTATTATGCATCATTAGTTATAATTATAATTCTTATTTACATTTGTAGATACACTGGCACAGATATCCATATGACAATTTAAATCTGGCACACAAAAAACAAACACACAAAAAATAAAGAAAAATGCAAGTATAGCATTTTTCACACTTTGAAGTTATTGTTGAAATATTTATTCATGTTTCAAAGTTCCCTAGTTTTATAGTATAAATTATTTTAATTGTTCTGGCATAGAGCAAAATACAAAAATGTCATGCAGTTTGGGAAAATGGAGCAACAATTGCATATTTTTAGGAAAGTCGATGAGAATTTGTGATTTTTGTCCACAATTTGATACATGAGTAAATAAATCTTAATCTTTACCACAGTTGTCACATGACTGTAGGAACAGTAATGACAAAGCACACGAGCAATGAATCCAGTCCAGGTGTGTATCCTTCTCAATGCTGCCACCTCCTGATGGAGCTGAGGAGGCGCAGGCTGAAGCCCTGGAAGGTTTCTTTGGACAGAGGCTCCAAAAAAAAACACGACAGATGGAGCTGACAGCAGAGACTGCACACAGGACCAGGAGCAAAACCATTTACAGAACAATGACTAAATAAAAATAAACTAAAATTATATTTTTGTCAAACATCAACAAGTTTTTTTTAACTTTCCAAAAGCTAAATTAATAACTAACACAAACTCCTATGTTTAATGTTTTTTATTATTATTATTTCATTCATTTAGCAGCAGACTGGGTGCATTTCTGCTTTATTCAGTGCATGCTCATACTAAAAGACTACATTTGTCTAGTAATTACACTTTCATAACAAATACATTTTCATCGCTGCTTGCTTTTGTACTTTTCTCAATTAAACTATTAAAAGCTCTTTTAATCAAAGGTGGGTGCCTTAACATGACTAAACATTTTAGCCAAGATATCTGTGCCTGTGTTACTCACTCTCACAGTTTACTGGTGCATTTTGCTAAGCAGGCTAACTAACATTAGAAAGAACTGAACTTGCATCACTTGAATACAGAGTTGTTACTCAAACTTTTTGGTGATAAGACTTAGATGAGGCATCATAGCAGAGCAAAGTTTAACGATGGTAGGAAGCTCATAATAACAGATGACGCACATGAACGCTTATAGACACGGATCTTTGAAGCCTACATGATAACATTATTCCAGCAACAATGTGGAGATCAACTTGTTTTTAGATCCAATTAAAATAAATTAACTCAAAAAGATCCTCTAGAACAGTGGTTCCCAAACTTTTTTGCTGGGCCCCCTTTGTTTTAAAGAAAAATGTTCGCTGCACGCTCATACTCTCTCCCGCACTCGATATGTGATCCATTGTTGATCTGCACACAGCTGTTGTCATGAACGTCGCACTTGCTTACGTCACTGTCGTGAGACATTCTCGCAAAAAAAATCACGGTTTTAGTAACGCAGTAACGCAGCGTTCCTACGGGAAAGTAATGGTAATCTAATTACTGTTTTTGCAATAGTAATCCCTTACTTTACTCGTTACTTGAAAAAAGTAATCGGATTACAGTAACGCGTTAATGCCCATCTCTGGTGGTGATGATGGTGAATTGGAGTCATGGCAGACATCCTGGCAGCTTTATGAGACCATAGATTGACATGCTTGATCTTTTCCAGATTGCCTGGTAGAGAACCATTGGTCATATCATCCCGTAAAAGTGCTGACATGGTAAGGAAAGTCTTCTGATGTTGTCATGTTGGCATAACAGCTTCGCCTTCATCATACTGTGTCTGACATGCCCTGTTATATGGAACTTGGCCTTTAATTTTGGAATAGAACTTGAGTCTTATTCCTTAATATCGCTGCAACTTGATTTTGTAGAACACCAGCTTGAAGATGTTCTATGCCATCTGTCAAATGTGGCACGCTTGGTGCAGACACCAACTGACAGCTGTAGCAGGGTCCATGCTTACAGATGCTGCTAATCAGACAACAGTCAGGCACCTGATTATCAGCACCTGGCGTACCAGAAACTCAGCACAAGTCAATAGCACATACTTCACATGCAATTCAAGTAAATAAATTTGAGACTGGCACTATGCATAAATTTAGTCAATAAATACATACAAGTGGCAGCCCCTACAAACAAACAAATATGTCAAGCGATATATATGAAGTTTATTATACCAAGTGATAAGCAGCACACAGGAAAACTTAAATAAGAGTGTAAGATTGCCATACATCTCATAGGAAGAGTAATAGCATTTTAATATAATTACAAATGCTTTGAACCTGGCAACTGCTCTGCCAGGAAAAACAAAGTGACTGAATGAATTAAACTGTAAAGTGTTCAGTAATTACAGAGATTAGTGGTGGCTAAGGTGAAAAGCAGGATGACCAGAATAAAAGGTGAGCTACATTTTATGAAAAACTGGTTTGCCAACTTCTGTGACGATTTCCAGTAAGTCATACTATGACATAGGTTGACGTTTTTTAGTTTAGGTGAACTCACATGGCTGAAAGCACTGTACTTCCCTCTTGACCTCGGAAAGTTGCTTTTATATCCACTGTGTTGTTTGTGTGTGCTGTTTTTCTACAATTGTTAAACAATAAAAAGAAAGCGCAAGCTACACCTGTTGAAAACAAATGAATGGCAAGTACTGAGCAAATATATATAAATATCTTTTTGAAAACCCAATGTATTTCAGTTAATTCCACAGGAAGGAAAATAAGTTCATGCTGAGCAGTTAACCATCAGGGTGCAATCAAGGATCTGGCTATTTGTTCTATTATGATGATTTGTAGTTCCTTTGAAGCTTTAAAGTGTTAGTCCTTACATACTGCATCAGTATTGTCATAACTCAGTCACTCAGATTTGGAGATTGGCAAAGCTGAAGAGAATTTCACAGCAAATCTATAGTAGAATATTAAAAAAAGAATACTTCAGTTCTCAAGCACTTCCAATATTAACTTGAAGTAAAACTAATTTCATCTATGCTTCCCCTGTTACTACACTTAACATACTTTTAATGAGGAAAAGCTCTCAGTATATGTACCAGTACTCCTATCATGCAATTAAACATTTAGTGACATTTACTCATTTTGAACTTTGTGGAGCATTTTTACTATTTAACTTGACCTGCATTATATAAAGATGTAAGTTTCAGTGCACATACCTTTGGTTTGTGGTTTTTCAGGTCATGTGACACTCTTTAATATTGGAGGGAGGAGCAAATCATGTCATCTAAGTAAAGTGTGCAGACACAGAAAACAAACAGTCAGAGTCTGAGACAATCTGGGAGTAGTGAGTAGTAGCAGAGTTCATCATGGATAAAAGAATACTTTGCTGGATATGTCTGCTGGCATATTTTCAGACATCTTTGGCACAAAGTAAGTGTTTATTGCAAGTTATAGCATTGTTTGTACTTTTTATATTAGACAGCTTTAGAGTGATTCAACAACAACAAATGTAGTACAATACTAAAACAAAATGATAATAGCACAGACTCCACAAAATATTAATAATCAGCTTTTTTTAAACTGTAGTACTGTGAGCAAAATTTTGGTTACCTCCAAGAACATACATCCTGGGATCACCGGAATGCACAAACTCCTGGAGAATGAAGACTTCAGTGATCCCATGTAACAATATGACTAGAGCATCCAAGGTGCTCTAGTCATATTGTTACAATTTAATAAACACAAATAAGTTGGGGAATTTGTGTTTATTAAATTGTAACAATATGACTAGAGCACCTTGGATGAGTAGGTTTAATGACAGTTTATTAAACTGTAACATTGGATTGGGTGTATGATATATGTAATGATTTGGCATATAAAACCCATTTTCAGTTCATGTTTTTTATAAATCAAATTTTCTGTCTACAGATGGCTTCTTTGAAACTAAGTGAAGTTGAATATTTTCATGCTCTGCTGACCACACAGCACATATTCAAGATAAAGCTTAACATGTTCAATAAAGCTTACCTTAAGTTAGTGCTTCTAAGCTTATACAGTGGGTCAAAAAAGTATTTAGTCAGCCACCGATTGTGCAAGTTCCCCCACTTAAAATGATGACAGAAGTCAGTAATTTGCACCAGAGGTACACTTCAACTGTGAGAGACAGAATGTGAAAAAAAAATCCATGAATCCACATGGTAGGATTTGTAAAGAATTTATTCGTAAATCAGGGTGGAAAATAAGTATTTGGTCAATAACAAAAATACAACTCAATACTTTGTAACATAACCTTTGTTGGCAATAACAGAGGTCAAACGTTTACTATAGGTCTTTACCAGGTTTGCACACACAGTAGCTGGTATTTTGGCCCATTCCTCCATGCAGATCTTCTCGAGAGCAGTGATGTTTTGGGACTGTCACCGAGCAACACGGACTTTCAACTCCCACCACAGATTTTCTAAGGGGTTGAAGTCTGGAGACTGGCTAGGCCACTCCAGGACTTTCAAATGCTTCTTACGGAGCCACTCCTTTGTTGCCCGGGCGGTGTGTTTTGGATCATTGTCATGTTGGAAGAGGGTGCATGGGAGTTTGCCCAACCAGTCTACATGTGTTTTGTGGACTTGGAGAAGGCATTCGACCGTGTCCCTCGGGGTGTCCTGTGGGAGGTGTTGCGGGAATATGGGGTGTCTGGCCCATTGCTACGGGCCATTCGATCCCTATACAACCGTTGCAAGAGCTTGGTTCGCATTGCTGGCAATAAGTCGGACTCGTTCCCGGTGGGTGATGGGCTTCGCCAGGGCTGCCCTTTGTCTCCGGTTCTGTTCATAATTTTTATGGAGAGGATTTCTAGGCGCAGCCAAGTGGCGGAGGGCTTTCGCTTTGGTGGCCTCAGAATCTCATCTCTGATTTTTGCAGATGATGTGGTTCTGTTGGCTTCATCGGGTGAAGGCCTCCAGCTCGCACTGGAACGGTTCGCAGCCGAGTGTGAAGCAGCGGGAATGAGGATCAGCACCTCCAAATCTGAGGCCATGGTTCTCAGCCGGAAAAGGGTGGAGTGGCCACTTCGGGTCGGGGATGAGTTCCTGCCCCAAGTGGAGGAGTTCAAGTATCTCGGGGTCTTGTTCGCGAGTGATGGGAGAAGGGAGCCGGAGATCGACAGACGGATTGGGGCTGCAGCTGCAGTAATGCGGACGCTGCACCGGTCCGTCGTGGTGAAGAGGGAGCTGAGTGTAAAAGCGAAGCTCTCAATTTACCGGTCGATCTACGTCCCTACCCTCACCTATGGCCACGAGCTGTGGGCAGTGACCGAAAGAACGAGATCGCGGATACAAGCGGCAGAAATGAGCTTCCTCCGAAGGGTGGCTGGCCTCTCCCTTAGAGATAGGGTGAGAGGTTCGGCCATCCGGGAGGGGCTCAGAGTAGAGCAGCTGCTGCTCCACATCGAAAGGAGCCAGCTGAGGTGGTTCGGGCATCTGACAAGGATGCCCCCTGGGCGCCTCCTGGGTGAGGTGTTCCAGGCATGTCCCACCGGGAGGAGGCCCGGGGCAGACCCAGGACACGCTGGAGAGATTATATCTCTCGGCTGGCCTGGGAACGCCTTGGTATTCCCCCGGACAAGATGGAGGAGGTGGCTGGGGAGAGGGAGGTCTGGGCCTCTTTGCTTAGGCTGCTGCCCCCGCGACCCGGCCCCGGACAAAGCGGAAGAAGATGGATGGATGGTCATGTTGGAAGACCCAGCCTCATTTCATCTTCAAAGTTCTCACTGATGGTAGGAGGTTTTGGCTCAAAATCTCACGATACATGGCCCCATTCATTCTGTCCTTAACACGGATCAGTCGTCCTGTCCCCTTGGCAGAAAAACAGCCCCATAGCATGATGTTTCCACCCCCATGCTTCACAGTAGGTATGGTGTTCTTGGGATGCAACTCAGTATTCTTCTTCCTCCAAACACGACGAGTTGAGTTTATACCAAAAAGTTCTACTTTGGTTTCATCTGACCACATGACATTCTCCCAATCCTCTGCTGTATCATCCATGTGCTCTCTGGCAAACTTCAGACGGGCCTGGACATGCACTGGCTTCAGCAGCGGAACACGTCTGGCACTGCGGGATTTGATTCCCTGCCGTTATAGTGTGTTACTGATGGTGACCTTTGTTACTTTAGTCCCAGCTCTCTGCAGGTCATTCACCAGGTCCCCCCGTGTGGTTCTGGGATCTTTGCTCACCGTTCTCATGATCATTTTGACCCCACGGAATGAGATCTTGCGTGGAGCCCCAGATCGAGGGAGATTATCAGTGGTCTTGTATGTCTTCCATTTTCTGATGATTGCTCCCACAGTTGATTTTTTCACACCAAGCTGCTTGCCTATTGTAGATTCACTCTTCCCAGTCTGGTGCAGGTCTACAATACTTTTCCTAGTGTCCTTCGAAAGCTCTTTGGTCTTGGCCATGGCGGAGTTTGGAGTCCGACTGTTTGAGGCTGTGGACAGGTGTCTTTTATACAGATGATGAGTTCAAACAGGTGCCATTCATACAGGTAACGAGTGGGGGACAGAAAAGCTTCTTACAGAAGACGTTACAGGTCTGTGAGAGCCAGAGATTTTCCTTGTTTGAGGTGACCAAATACTTATTTTCCACCCTAATTTACGAATAAATTCTTTACAAATCCTACCATGTGAATTCATGGATTTTTTTTTCACATTCTGTCTCTCACAGTTGAAGTGTACCTCTGGTGCAAATTACTGACCTCTGTCATCATTTTAGGTGGGGGAACTTGCACAATCGGTGGCTGACTAAATACTTTTTTGCCCCACTGTACTTGAAACTCCTGTCAATATCAAATGATTGCATGGAATGACTTTGAGTTGCTACTAAGATTAGTAGACAGATTATTTTCTGTCGAGTTATTTGGAGAGGGGCCAGCAGTCTGTGGCTGTTACTGAAATTATGAATGAAAGTTTCATCGTGTTAAGTCATTCTAATCTGCACTTAACTCACTGTCTTTAAGCAACCACAACTGCAGCACCAACCACAACAACTACAACTGCAGCACCAGCAACCATAACTGCAGCGCCAACCACTACAACTGCACCAACAACCACTACAACTGCAACGCTAACCGCAACTGCAGCACCAACCACACCTGCGTCACCAACAACCACTGCAGCACCAACAACCACTACAACTGCAGCACCAGCAACTATAACTGCAGCGCCAACCACTACAACTGCACCAACAACCACTACAACTGCAACGCTAACCGCAACTGCAGCACCAACCACACCTGCGTCACCAACAACCACTGCAGCACCAACAACCACTACAACTGCAGCACCAGCAACCATAACTGCAGCACCAACCACTACAACTGCACCAACAACCACTACAACTGCAACACTAACCGCAACTGCAGCACCAACCACACCTGCATCACCAACAACCACTGCAGCACCAACAACCACTACAACTGCAGCACCAGCAACCATAACTGCAGCGCCATTCACTACAACTGCACCACCAACAACAACCACTACAGCTGCAGCACCGGCAACCATAACTGCAACAGTAACCACAACTACTGCACCAACAACCACAACACTAACCACCACTACAACTGCAGCACCAACCACCACTACAACTATAACACCAACCACAACTGCAGCACCGGCAACCACAACTGCAGCACCAACGAATACAACTACAGCAACAACCACAACTGCACTACCAACCACCACTACAACTACAGCACCAACCAACACAACTACAACACCAACCATAACTGCAGCACAAACCACTACAACTACAGCACCAACAACCACAACTGCAGCGCCAACTACTACAACTACAACTAAAACTGCAGCACAAAGCACCACAACCCCTACAGAAGGGTCAACCACCATTCAAAGTATGTGATTTAAATTAAAAGTACTTAATGTGTGCAACAGTTTCTCTTCCTACCTTCTGTTGTCCTTCCAACATTCACACTCTAATACTAGGGTGGGAAACTCCAGGCCTCAAGGGTTGAAGTCCTGCAGGTTTTAGATCTCACCCTGGGTCAACACACTGGAATCAAATGATTAGTTCATTACCAGGCCACTGCAGAATTTCAAGACATGGTGAGGAGGTAATTTAGCCATTTAAATTAGCTGCGGTGGTTCTAAAACCCGCAGGACACCAGCACTTGAGGCCTGGAGTTCCCCCACCCAGGGTTGGACTGGGACAAAAAAACGGCCTAAGCATTTTGACTAGAGACCAGCCCACAAAGTACTATAGGAAAAGCCATAAAGCCTCAAATGCTGTTGTGACTCCTGGTTTCATCTAAAAATCTAAAAATGTTATAGTGTAATTGTTTCAGTATTGAGGGAAATGTGCCTTATAGCAATAATCAAATGCATTTTATGATGTATAATTACTTTACACTTACCAATTATACTTTTATAATTCTTTTTTTCAGTTCCAACAGGCCCACAAGCACTTGCACATCTAAAGATAAAGATGACTACATACGGGCAGGTTAGCAATGCAACCATCATTGCCCTTCTTGAACAGGTATAGCTATATCTTAAAGTTTGCTTCGTACATTCTTGACTTATCAGTAATTTCACACACACAAATCATGTGTTAAAAATTCAAATGTTTAATCTCTGTGTTTTCTTTCCATTTAGTTTAACACCAAGGTCCTGAATGGTATACCCCACATTCTCTCTGTGACAAACATTAAAAAAGTTGGAGCATAAAAATTGAATGTGGACACAAGTCAAAAATAAAAATATAAAGGCAAGAATTTAACAGTGAGTTAGTAGATTTGTTTCAACATGATCCGGAGCGGCAGTTTGCCTCAGTCGCTTCATCATATCCTGAATGATTAGTACGTTGGTGTGAGGAGGAGACATCAGCTGTGCTGCAGTGGTCGACAGCCAGATGGGCTTGGATTGCTCTGTGAATGTATGAAACCTAAACCTGGGTGAAAGCAGATCATATTTAAATATCAATCCCCTTACATGATCATTTCTGAAATTAAATCAAACTGCAGAAACACAATGCTGTAGTTCCCATGAATTACAAATGCGCTTTTGGTTTATCATCTTGAAAAGTACAATAGGCATCTCAAACCAGGCAGCTGGCTAATAATGTCAATACTTACTCACTCTGACAAAATGGTGACTAGGAAATCAAATAATTTATATGCTTTGAAACAAAAAAAATATTTATTGGTTACGTGTTTTAGTAATATCACTTTTGAGTCATTTAAAAGTACAGATCCGGAAAAGCATTAATTGTACTGCACACACAGCTAGGCCTCTGAGAAAGTGGGTGACACTCAGTGGGTGAGAATTCCACAGGTGTTAACTTACTGCTCACCGTGTCAATAGATTTTAATTAAATTTCCGTAACAGATTCTTGTTAACTCGGCTTTTCCACATGGAAAACAAGGAAAATTATTACTGTTGGTGCATAAATACTGCACCCTAATGAAGAAAATAAATCAGTTTTCAGATATTACTGACCAACAACACACTTTTTCCCCCTTTGTGGTATTAGAATCAAATCTGTTTTTCAGAATTTGTTTTTGTATGTCTGCTGATTTGTACTGTACTTTAAACTGTGACTAAATTTTACAAACTTGTCACTCCTGCTACTAAAGTCTCATATACACAGAAATATATCTGATTCTGATTATTCTGAATAAAGAGATATAACCATTTGTAATGGCCATTCTTTGTATCATTTATTCTTTCAGAATTCTTTTTAAATGAAACTTTATTCAACTTGTGAATTTAAAGCAGATTTATACCCATATACAGAATATCAAGAACAACAGCTGTTAGAAAATACAAGAGAAAGTGAAAACATAGATTGCTATTCAATGTTAAATGTGCTCTTCGTGCCATTTTAATAATTAATGAAAGAAAACACACACCTTATCTGCATCAACAAATAAACTCAACATGGATCCATCAACTCTGACTTGGCCCTGCCAAAAACATCTAAGACCTTGTGTGTTGAGTACCATTCCTTCCCGTTCTTTTAAAATACATGATTCTACTTATCAAAAAATGCGCACAGGTTCTATTATAAACACTACACGGTTTAAAACCATCAGACTGAGGTCTTTACAAAATACAAACACTGGTCTAATCTACAGCATCGTGTCACCAGCACCAAAGTGCACACAGAGCAAATTGCGTCCTTTTAGTCATGTTGTTAACATCACACAGAAACGTTTAATCTCCAGTGAGAGGGAATTCTCTTCATAATCTCATCATCACTTCTCTTCAGTTGTCCTCTCCGTCTCGCAGCACCTTGTGCACAGCTCTGTTTAACAGGGCCAGCAGGTCCACAGCCCCAGCCACTCCCCTTGGCAGGTAGAGCTCCAGAGAAGAGGAGGCGGCATGAGGCAGGCGCAAATCTTGCATGCTGGCATCCTGAGAGGGGAAAAAAAAAAAAAAAAAAAAAAAAAAAAGGAATAGTGAGGGAAATGTGACAAAGATTCATCTCTTGACAAAGGAAAAGGAGCTATATTTTATCACCTTGGATAGTTGATGCTGGTGGTGATTCTTGTGAATTTGAATCACAATTAAAGGCAGGATTTTAAGGATTTTTATGTTAAACACCAACCTGAGAGTAAAAACACAGAGAAATGAATCTGGGGAAGCCAAGAGGAGGCAAACGGTCAGCTCCTGTGATGAAGGTGAGGAGGTCTTCAAAGGAAAACTCTGCCTTGCCGTCTGATTGTGCAAACAGAGACATATTTATCTAACCTGAAACACTAGAAGCATCTTTATTCTTTCCACCACACCCTCCAACCTTACCACGCACTAAAGTGAGGATTGTTTCCCAGTGTCCAGCTGTGGCCTCCTCATCTGCCCTCAGTTGGGCATCTGAAGTGCTAAAGCTGATGGTAAAAAGCTGCTTGAACTCTTCCAGACTCAGAGGCTGCTGCGGTGCACTCGTCATAACTGGGGCAAAAATTTCCCAGTGGGACTGAACCATGTCCCACAGCCCACCACAGCTATTCAGCCCCTCAGTAAACTGGGAGATCATTTTAGTCACCCTGAAGGACAGCAAGTGGATTAAATTTAACTTTTGTATTTAGAAAGGGCAACATTTGCATGTAGCTCAAGTTGAAACTGTCGACACCATGTGTATGACGTATGCTTCTGTGTGTGCACTACCTGTCGTAGATGTAGTGTTTTACCAGGCGACTATAAATGGCTGGCATTTCATCAGAGTTGGCTGAACAGATCTCAGGGATCCCACAGCGTGACACCCAGTCGCACAGACTGGGAGACAGCAGCTTTACATCAGTACAACTATGTAGCTGTGAGAGCAGAGGAACATCATTTGTGTGCGGCACACAGAAGGCAATTATGTACACAGGACTGAGGGTTTAATACAGAGAAGAGTTTAAAGGTGAGGGGGGAAAAACTGCCATACAAACAGTTCATCATTCTACAGCTGAAGGCAGAAACAAGATGATGTTATTCAGCACTGTAATTATGCTACAGTCACATTAGGAAACCACTACAATTGCCATGGTATATGCAGTGATCTCACAATCTCATCGAAATGGTTACTTAAGACAGGGACCAGGTCTGTGACCTGTGTTCAAAGGGACTATCACACATCAGGAGGGTGATTGAATGGCAGTAAGATGCAGTCTGCTATCAGACTGTATTGAATAGGGTCATTTGGCAGTTACAAAGTCTTTTGTCATCCGTTGCTTTCTCTACTACACAGAAACTCACAGTTCCCAGTTATTTTTAGTGTCCAAGCAGAACCTCACAAATATGAAAAAGAAATTCCTTCACAAGTTGTTGCACAACCAACTTCTGGGCAACCAGTGGGTTGGTGCAGCTATGAGGTTACCATCCTATTTTTACTCCAGTGTGACCGATCCATCAATAAAATAACTGGTTTATATTAAGATCACCGTTATCCAAACTAACCATGTATAATAACACAGGTACAGCAGTATATCAAGTTTTTAAATATGTTACAATTAGAGTTGTGAGTTTTCTTCTTGTGTGCTACCTCTTTCAGTTGGATTTGGACTTCGGTATCAATAATGTCCCGCCAGTTGAAGTCTTCTAATGTTATACTGTGGCAACACATCACCTGTGACAGTAAAATAAGCCATACAGACAAAGATTGTGCTGGTAATACCTGACACAGCTACAGGGCATCAGAAAAAGTAATCTAATATCACATTCGCAAAGAATAGGCAATACTGTATGACAAATTCTTGTAGTGCCTACACTAGCACACATTCAGTTAAGGACTCTACCTGATACAATGCAGGGTGAAGGCAACAAAGTCCAGGCCCACCCTGAGCCAGCGACCAGCCAATGAGAACCCCAGCTTCATAGTACTTCCTCTCCTCAAGAGCTGTGAAGTTGCAGGTCATGAACAGACTTCCTGGAAGACCCTCAAACACACAGCTGTGCTGCAGCTCCAGCAGCATCAGCCTGCATGAGAAGAAATGTAGACATGAATTAACAAATGACACCTTTATGCTTTCGTGTTTTGGCAGAAACCTCTTTCAGAAGAACTGAACATTTCTCTCAGAATAGTGGAGCACCAAAACAAACAAAACAAAACAAAACGAAAACGAAACCTAGATGCCATTATTATGTCATTCATCAAAGAAAAAAAGAAAAATCAGCTGCTACCTTTCCATTTTGTATTGCTGTAAATACCATCTGTTCACATATTTGGGGTTTTGGACAGTTGATCAAACAACACAATCAGTTTTATTACCACACCGTCTTCTGGGATCCTGAACTATCATGATGAGCATTTGACACAATTTTCACATTGTTTACTGCAGCCCCAAAATGTATAGAATATGATCCTATTATAGACTACATGCTACCATGTGGAAATCTTTTTGTGAGCCAGTTTTCCAATTACAAAAAAAAGTGAATATTAAATCTTGATGAAATTCATACAGTCATGTTGGATCAGAGTTTGAATAAATTAGCTTCAGTATAGAAAACCATACAACTTATTTTATGCCTGAAGCCATCAGCTCCAGCAATAATTTCAGGGAAATGATGAGGACCTGAAAAACTCCCTGACAGGGGCCTCGTGGCTGTCGGGCTCTTCTCCACTGAAGGAGATAACAGGCGTCGCCCTGAAGCAGAAGTCGGGCCTCCTCACCACCTCCAGAGCGCCGTGGAGTAGATCTGTCCGCCTCACCTGGATGTGAGTTTTCAATCCTGGATCTACGTTCTCCTGTCTGAACGCTCTCAGGATGGTGTCCAGGTCAACAGTGGACTGCGCACAAAAGATGCAAGTTTAACAGGAGACAAAGATGATGATGATAATAATAATAATAATAATAATAATAATAATAATAATACAACAAACTGAATTTAGGATTGACTTTTTTATCTTTTATCCTCCAAACTCACCTTCTTTGTATCCCTGCAGATGCTAGGCTTGATTATTAGCTCACTTTTACCATCTTGGCAGCTGTCTGTGCTGCTCCCCCCCCAAAAAAAAAAAAAAAAAAAAAAAAAAACCCACACAAATTCAGATAATGCAGCTATTTAGTTTGTCACTAATCATTTCTAAATGTGTATTCACAGGAAATGTTTTCTTGCCTTTTTACCACAAGTGTCTCACTTGCTGACCCTTCAGATTCTGTCTGTAAGGAGAAGAGAACTTTATAAACTACAGACAAAATGGAGGCAGACTGAGCAAAGCTAAAGCAGATTGGAGAAATAAACGAAATAATTAAAGATCCCGTGTTCCCCGGTTCACAGGAACAAGGCGTCCAGGGGTCCATGAGCCATTTTAAACACTTGCTGTCGTTTCTGTTTTTTCACAGAAGCCAAATTATCTTTAAACTGAATCTTAACACACAAAGTTGTCTTTATGGCTTTTGAAATATAAAAAATGTATCAGATCCAAGTCCTACTTTTATAATGATCACATCAGGGTATTAGTAATGAAGCAGCAGTAGTTACCTCTGAGTAGTCGTGGTGGCTCAGGATATATAAAGCACCATGTTCAGAGATCCTGAGGACTTGCTCTCCAGTCCAGCCCTCTGAAGGGGTGTCAGGGACAAACAGCACTCTGGAGCTCTGCACACACTGGAAACAACCACCACATTCAGCAATGTTCTGTGTACTAAATGAACAGACTTTAAGACACCTCAGGCAGAACACATCTCACACCCACCTGCAGATATGTAAATGAAAACTTTTGTCCTGCCTGTTTTACAAAGTGCCCCTGAAAGAGCATCGCCAGTCGACCCTTCACCTGAGTGGCTGACCAGCTGCGGTCAATGGTGATGCGAGCAGTCATCATCATGGCTTCCAGAGCTGCTTGGTCTTTATTCTTTGGAACTATTTGTCTGGAAGAACAGAAAATAACATTTACTTCACTGAAAAATGTTATGAACAGTAGAGTAGATTCAAACAGAGCTATGTAAACACCTTTTATTGCCACAATCATCACTTTAGAAACAGTGGGAGCTACTCAAACATTCACTGACCTAAAATGGCATTTTGAATAAGATTTTATGGTATTCTTTCCTACATAAACACTCACCTGTCCAGCTGTGACATAGAGTGTCCTCTGGGTAAACAGACCACGTCTTTAACCACCAGGCTTTTCTTCTGAGGAATCAGTCTCTTCCATTTGAGATGACCAGCTTTGTTAGAATATGGCTGAAATACACAGAATAAACCCTCAGTGTTACATGTTGGATTCACGAACAGGAGAATATCCTAAAGTTACAATGGGGCAAAACTGTGCAGGAAATGGGAAATATGGTTTCCATTTTGGCAGAAAATAAAGTTTGAAAAAACTGATTGAACTTTGATTAAAAAGCTTAAATCGTTGATGATAAATAATGTGCTGGAGACTGAAGTCAACATTTTTCTGACACTGTGGAAGAAAGATGATCAGATTCATCAATATTAAGGTCAAGCCTACAATAAAAATATAAAGTAGTAGTAGTAATGTAGAAAGAAAAAGTTCTTTTTTAATACACTTGAAAGTGTGAATTGTGAATATTTTCTGAAGGAAATTTTATTTAAATCTTATGATGTCTAATTCATTTTTCATTTTTTATTGTCCGCCTGGTTTGGGATGAAGAACCAATTTCATATAATACACACGTTAACCAATGTTAGGGAGGCAATTTAAGCTCCTTGAGGCGACTGTTGTTCTGATTTGGTATGAACTGATTTGAATTAACATTGCTGTGCTTTGTTCTAATTCCAGTAGGGGAACTGGACCACTGCACCATATAGTTATATACTGTTTGCACTGCTCTCACTGTTTGTATGCAGCATCCCTGCTCTAGAGTCCAGGCTGCAAATCAAATGCCTGAGTCGGTGATATGTTATGAAGAGTCATGACATATCAGTAATGAATAAAGGATTCCCTGACTTTACCATTGCTGGATGACTCTTTGACTTTCTGATAGAAGGAATCACCTACAGGAAGGAAAAACAAGAAGGGTGAATAAAAACAAGAAATGTGAACTAAAAAAAAAAAGGAATACAAATAAGATGAAGCAATAAAGTAAAGTAAAAACCCATTCCTGGAGGTCCTGACCAGCTATTTAGCATGGGATGTCTTTTTTTCTACTACAAATTTCTTACTTTCTTACCAAGTGGTTTATAACTTCTGCCTTATTACTAACCTCCAGCTCTATCTCTACTTCTTGTTTGCACACCACAGCAGAGCAGTGAGGTTCTTCCTGGTCTGGGGAATCTGTTTCAGCCTGGTGTCTGGGTTGAGTTTGGACCTGCTGCTCAGGGGCTTCCTCGGAGTTGGAGAACAGAGGACTCGCCATGTATCGCTGTGGTACAAGAGGAGGACAAGGAGCTGGCTTGTTATGTATGAGCACGCGAATGATGCAACAAAAGAATATGTGAGTCCACATCATTAACCATCAGGCAGCAAAACACCATTGTTGTTTTGAATACATGAGTTGTAGTTTCAACATTGTGGAGCCACTACAACATCAGAACAATTCTACTCACCGCAATGATGAGAGCTGATTAATCACAGTGTTTTGAAATTATGGCTTTGGCTCTGGTTCAGTTGTCCTTTTGCTTGATTGAACAGTTTCAGTGATGTATCTGAAGCAACACTGATTGTTGTTATTCCAACAATTAGATCTTGTTGTGGCTTGTAGTTTAACTTGGTGCTTTTTGCTTGACAGCAGATTGTTATTTAGCTGTACCAACAGAATTTCATCAATTTTATATCAGAAATTCTTGAGAGAGTAGTAGTAAAGCTAATCATCTACAGAGAAATGACTTATCTGAAGAGTTTCGGTCAGGTTTCAGAGCTCAGAGTACAGAAACAGCCTAAGCAATGGTTACAAATGGTGGCCTCTGACAGTGGCCTCATCTCTGTGCTTGTCCAGCTAGAACAGATTGATACTGTTGACCATAAGATTTTATTACACCAATGAGAACATGCAGTGGGTATTAAAGGTACTGCACTGCAGTGGAATCATATCTTTCTAACAAACTCAAATTTGTTCATTCCATTTACATTATACATGTTTCCTTTAGGCCAGAGGGCCACTTGCGTCTCACGTCATCCCTATATCGGCGTAAAGAAATATAATGCAGTTTGGCTCTTTAAGTTTTTGTTTTTTTTGTTCAAGAGGATTTCTTTGTTGTTGAATGCAACATTAAAATAAGTTCTTTAAAAAGCAAAAAAATTATTTAATGATGGCAAACGTGTCGAGTGATTGTCTGTGTTAGTTCAGTGAGAGTTATTCGCAAAGAAAACAATTTTCACTTGCAGTCAATAACTAATGTCTGCATTATTATTTTGATAGATTCAAACAAAGTTATAGCAGAAGTGCTGCCATGTGTCTGGCCAGAAAGACAGTACCAATTTGTTTATTTGGCAGTTCAATGAAAGTCTTCAGTTTGTTAAGAGTGATTTTGCTCTGTATAAATAAAATTGAAGATGAAGATGTCTTGTTGATGCTAGAGGTGAGAAAGCACATGGGCTACAGGAGCAAAAGTCCACACCAGGTGCCACTCTTATCAGCTAAGACCAGGAAACTGAGGCCACAATTTCCATGGTCCCAGAAAGATTCAGGAACAGAAGATTGGAAAAATGTATGCATGTATGATGTAGGAGACATCTTCTAACACATTTGGTGCACTTGGTACCAACTGAGAAAATGCCACCAACTGGGATGTGGTAGAACAAGAGAGTGTAGCTGACAAATCTGCAGCAATTATGTTGTTGAAAAATGCCATGAAAGCAGTTCTAAATTGAAAAAGGGTTTCCATCCCAGTACCAGCAAGGTGCAAGTGAAAGTAAAGTCTGAATGGAAACGCAGAACAATATCTATACATCTACAGTTCTACATACAAAGTAAAACCAAACAGGTTTGGTGAGTATCTAAAGCAATACCTCTCTGTACTGTCTAGAAGTAGGACATCAACCCTTTAAGGTGTATTTATATGTTAGTTCTGAGGTTAGTCAAAAGATATTGGATCTGATTATGATATACCACCACTCTGCTCATCATATGAGCTTCAAAAAGTTTCCTGATGGGGTCAGCACTATTTATAAATCACACATAATGTCTTGCAGTGAAGTATTTAAAAAGACACACCTGGTGAACGCTGTATTCCTCCTCTTCCTCCTGTGTTATCAAGACCTTACAGGGCTCCTTGGAAGAAAACACTTTCATTTCAATGTTTTCTTTAATGACCAGTGACACTGGTTTCTTCCCACACGCCATCCTTCCTAAAATGACACCGTTTACGGTATCTAACCTTTGCTTGTTCTTTATTTTGTCCTTATTCTTATTACCTCTTTTTTGCAGGCTTCTTGTGACTCAAAGCTGATTTCATGCTAATTAAGTGTTCTCTTGCTTAGCTGAGAGGGAACCACCAAACATCTAAACAGGTGAAGTTTCATTACCTCAAGCTGCAACCTATCAGTCTAAAGCTGTAGTTGGCTCACAGTTGTGTTCTCAGGCTGTGATTGGTTGTGTGGATAATCTAGAAGCTGATATTTATGGGAGTTCTGTTCAAAAACAGTGTGACTTTTGAAAGGACGGTTTGTGTATAGGAAATGAATTACTGCTGTACCACGTGTGAAACAAAATAAAAAATGAAATGAAAAAAAGCTCTGCCTGATTCAAAAGTAGCTTTAGAAGTACAACATGTGGCCCAATCAATGCAACTTTGTCTCTGTAGAGCTTGAAGGAGACTTGTCCTCAAGTTATAGACACTGTCATGAGAAAAGGTCACTAATCATGCTATCCTAAGAATTTCTTTCATCATAAGGCTGATTATTAAAATACTGCTCTTAAAGCTATCATACCATTATTAACAAAAACATTCATTTACCTTATTAAAATATGGACTGCAAGGAGAAAGTCTGTAACACATTATTTCAGAATCCATATTTTTATTTCCTTCTTTAAAATTATTATTCAGGCTTAATTTTCATTCACTTCAACTTTCCTGTTAAAAGTACTGCAAAAATTAATTGTTACAACATGTAAGTTTACAAGGAAGACATTTCAGGACCTTTGATTTGAAACAGTGTAAAATAACAGCTAAAAAATGATAAAGAAATTACTTAGGCTTAAGCGTGAGCTTTGGTAGCAGGTACTAGGAAACAATGATTCCATATCTAATTATGTTTATTCATTTCACTGAGACTGTGGCGAATAATAAAACCCCACACTGAACAGTCTTTAATCAGCAGGATCAAAAACTGAAAATTTACCATTTAATATCCTTCATGAGGTTCAAATGGATCCGATGAAATGTCACATGGATAAATCGAGTTAGTATCTTTGTGTATTTCTTAAAACTTAAATCAGGAAATTTATTTTTACATGGAAAGACCTGGTGTTGGATGCTTTCACCAACACCACCTTCTTTACGCTTTCCCCCTGATTCCTTCAATAATGTTTCACAGGGTCAGACAGTCAGAGCTCAGGGTCCTCTTGGTGGCACCCAAGTGTCCATCAACAGTCTGGTTCCCTACTCCCTGCAGGGTCTTGAACAGGGACCTGTGGCAGCTCAAAAGGAGAATGGACCTTAGCTGTAGAAATATTGGTATGGCATTCATCTCCAGGATTTTTCCAGCCTTACAAATGCACTTGAAGGGAATCTGTCATTCTTGACTGACCTCAAGCCCTTAGTTTATCATACCATGCAGAATTTAAGTTCTTCTCCAACAAGGAGACCATGTCAGAGGCTCTGGGCTGCATTATCTTTGCAGTACAGAAACTGTGATTTGGATTTGCTATATCCACTCCAGTCATTGCATCTGAAAGTACAAGGGATAAGGCTCTGTTCAGACAGTGACTTTCTCACTGGCTTGGTGACACAATAAAACAAGAGTATGAAGCAGCACGTGTGCCTGCCCCCAGGGGAAATCTGTGCAGTGGCATCCCAGACAACATTTTACATATTCACTAGGTTCTACTGTCTTAATGTGGCCTTTGGGTCCATGCTGTGATCAAGTGTTCTGCCATTAGCATTTCTTCCTATTGACACTGCTTTGTCCCATCATCACCTTTCAATTCTAAGGTTTTACATATAAAAATATAATAAAAATTGTCTGGTTTTTTTTTTTTTTAAACAATTGGGTAGATATAACCTCAGGTGAACAACATATGAATTAATGCGCTGTCATTATTTAAGAAAAGCTAAGCCAAATGCAGAAGGTGTAAGTGAATCGCTAAAAACACCTTACTGCTGCCATTAAAAAGGAAAGCAGCAGCCAGGTGCTTCTATTCGAATGCTTTTGGTTAACCGACTAATTTTCTAACTATTTAAAGTCCATGCTTGTGTAGTGAGATTCATTAGTGGAAAGACTTGCTAGTCCTCTCTGGAGTAGATCATCATTAGACTCAACCAGCTAAACATGTTAAATGTTTATTTTATTTTGCATTTGTGTTAAATAAACAATTAAACAGTGGAATCTGTTGTGTGCAATTTTACACCTGAGGTTATATTTAAATTATTTTAGAAGCTGCTAAAGACCAGATTATTTTTAAAAACCATGTTCTGATATTAAAAGAAAACTTTTAACTATGACTGCAAGCTATCCACTTTGTTTACTGCCACTTGCAATCAGGAGAGAAGGGAACAGAAATTATGATGGTGGTTCTGTGTTTCCTGATAATGGTGATTCGCGGCAGTCACTCCAAATGTCTTGGACAAGATTCTGAGAAGCCGGGTGTGAGCTACGACTTGGTATTTCTAATGTTACCTTTGTTTATCACATTATCTAACTTCCAAGAAGTCTTGTGCATTTCCTTTTCACTGTCATGGAATGCATACTGCTCCATGCACCATCGTTTTCCCTGAGATGACTGGAGGCTGATGTGTGTCACAAGTTTGTCCCAAAAAATTGATTCTGTTCATCTGGACGTAGCATTTTCAGTCGGAGAAACGTTTCGTAACTTTTCCAAGTTCTTCAGTCTCAGTTAACTGCAGGTTTTTCTTATAAACAGTACATTTGCATAATGACTGAAACTAGCACCACTGAATGAACAATGGGCTGTGAGGTCAGTTCCCTTGATGCAAATTGTCATGACCATTGAGCAACAACTACTGATCAATGGCCATGAGTACAATTCACAGAGAGTTGGGGAATGGCTGCAATCACAGCCTTGTAAGATGGCAAAAGATGGACCCTTTGGCCCCCTCCTCGATTGCCAGAGATGGTCTTTCCCTTTTCACATAAATGGCCTCCTTGACTCCCCATTCAAACCAGCGTTCCTCCCTGTCCAGGATGTGTACATCCTCATCATGGAAAGAGTGTCCACTGGCCTGTAGGTGTAAATAGACTGCAGAGTCCTGGCCTGACGAGGTAGCTCTTCTGTGTTGTGCCATCCGCTTCGCCAGAGGTTGTTTGGTTTCCCTGATGTATAAATCCTGGCAATCCCCATGCACTTAACAGCGTACACTATATTACTCTGTTTGTGTCAGGGGACCCGATCCTTGGGGTGGACCAATTTTTGGTGCAGTGTGTTTTGGGGTTTAAAGGCTACAAAGACACGGTGTTTAGAAAAAATGTGTCTCAACTGCTCTGATACTCCTGATACATACAGGATCACTACAGGTTTTTGCTTAGTCAGCGGTTGTCCTTCTCTCCTGGATCGGCTGGAGCTTTCTTTAGGTGCCTTTCCAGCTTTGACAAATGTCCAGATGGGATAACCACATTTACTCAGGGCTTTCTTGATGCGATGTTCTTCTGCCTCCCGAACCGTTGTGTCTGATCTGTATGCGTAGGTTTACAGTACACGTCAGCTTTTAGATGTCCCCCATTACTGATGGAAATCTCACAGTCTAAGAAGGCTAACCTGCCACTTTTCATATCCTCCCTGGTGAATTTGATGTATTGGTCCACCGAGTTAATGTGATCCGTGAAATGTGGTACGTCCTGAGATTTGACTTTCACACAGGTGTCATCCACATACCTGAACCAATGGCTTGGTGGTGTTCCAGGGTAGGATAGCAAGCCCTCTTTTCCACTTCTTCCATGTACAAATTGGACACGGTGGGTGAAACTGGGGAGCCCATGGCACACCCATGTTTCTGCCTGTAGAAATGACCCTTGAATGTGAAGTAGGTGGAATGAAGACACAGTTCCAACAGCAAACACACTTGGTCGATGCTGAGAGTGGTCTTGTTGCTGAGGTTGGGGTCATCCTGTAATCTCTTAAGGACTACCTCCAACGCTTCTGTGACTGGGATGCAAGTGAAGAGAGATGTAACATCGTACAAGACCACGGTTTCATCTGCCTCCATAATGACATCTCTCACTTTCTCAACAAAATCCAGGGTGTTCTGGATGCAGTGTTCAGAGCTGCCTACCGACGGGTTGAGGATCGAAGACGACCTATCCCAGTGTTCCCTCAGTGGTGCTGGTTTCAGCCATTCTGCAAAAGTACTGTTTATAAGATTGGGGAAACCTGCAGTCAGCTGAGACTGAAGAAATCACTTGGATGAGTGACGAAATGTTTCTCCCACTGAAAACACTACATCCAGATGAACAGAATCAACTTTTTGGGGGATTTACTTACCAGGGTTATGATAATAATAATAATGGATTGCTTTTCGGGGCCCTCAAAGCGCTTTACAATTCCACTAGTCATTCATTCTCACATTCACACACTGGTGGAGGCAAGCTACAGTTGTAGCCACAGCTGCCCTGGGGCAGAAGCGAGGCTGCCATATCGCGCCATCGGCCCCTCTGGCCATCAGCTGAAGGCCAGTAGGTGAAGTGTCTTGCCCAAGGACACAACGACCGAGACTGTCCGAGCCGGGGCTCGAACCGGCAACCTTCCGGACACAAGACGAACAGTAACCGATAACGATCGCCCCGGGTTATGAGGAATCAGCTGTGTGAAGACAGATTCCTCATAACCCTCACTTGACTGCATTCCTCTGCTCAACATTTCCTCTTCCTTAACCTCCTAGGACCTGGTGTCCACATATGTGGACATCACATTTTGGGACGTCTAGACCAAAATACTTAATTTTTTTAAAAAAATTTTCTACAAGGGCCTGATATTCACTTACGAGGACATTATACTGCCACTGTTCTATCAAAATTTGATACAAATGTCCTCATATGTGGATCTCATTTTTCTCAAAAACAAAAATTAGGTGTAAAAAAAAAAAAAAAAAAAAAAAAAAAAAATCTGGTAATTCTTTGTTTTTACATTCTTTAGGTCCCAATCAACCCAAATAGCAAAGAAAAATTAAAAATGCATGCCATGAAGGAGTTCGGGTCTTAGTTGTTGATTTACACGATGAAATATTCAAATAAGTTTTAAAAGGCGTTCAATGGAGAAGATGTAATTGATTATAATAAATGATTTTGTTCACAAAGACACATGAAACCAATATTTGTTCTACTGTGCTTATTGTTTACCTGAATCCTAAAGTGTTTGCAGAACCCAACTACTTCACAAACACTTTCTGGCCGCTTCAGCTGTTCATGGAA